GCCCGAGCTATTCCGTGGCCATCCCAGAGAGGAGGTGGGAGCTCTCCCAGCTGTTCTATGACCTGAGCTGTTCCGTGGCCATCCCAGAGATGATGTGGGAGCTCTCCCAGCTGCTCCATGGCCTGAGCTGTTCTGTGGCCGTCCCAGAGAGAATTGTGGGAACTCTCCCAGCTGCTCCATGGCCTGAGCTGTTCTGTGGCCGTCCCAGAGAGAATTGTGGGAGCTCTCCCAGCTGCTCCATGGCCCGAGCTATTCCGTGGCCATCCCAGAGAGGATGTGGGAGCTCTCCCAGCTGCTCCATGGCCCGAGCTATTCCGTGGCCATCCCAGAGAGGATGTGGGAGCTCTCCCAGCTGCTCTATGGCCTGAGCTGTTCTGTGGCCGTCCCAGAGAGAATTGTGGGAGCTCTCCCAGCTGCTCCATGGCCTGAGTTGTTCTGTGGCTGTCCCAGAGAGGATGTGGGAGCTCTCCCAGGTGCTCCATGGCCTGAGCTATTCCGTGGCCGTCCCAGAGAGGATGTGGGAGCTCTCCCAGGCGCTCTGTGGCACAAACATCCTGCATTTGCAAAAAGAGACTTCCCTGGGCACACGTGTTTGTGAGGACTTGCCAGGGCCTTTACTGTACCAGTGTGCACCGCAGAAGAGAGCCATTTCCCAAACGTAGGTGCTCGGGAACCTCTTTTCAGGGGAACATTCATGGAGTTAGGGTTCCACATAGCCCACTTTGGGAACCTGAGGTTGGGTTCCCAGGGGGAGGGTGTGGGACAGGTGGCTCACGCTGCCTTTGAAGGGTGAGAAGGGTTGGGCAGGGCTGGCTGGCGGGCCCCGGAGACCGCTGACTGATCGCTCGCCTCCCCCAGGCTGGAACGAGCTGCTCATCGCCTCCTTCTCGCACCGGTCCATCGCCGTGAAGGACGGGATCCTGCTCGCCACGGGGCTGCACGTGCACCGGAACAGCGCCCACAGCGCGGGGGTGGGCGCCATCTTCGACAGGTGGGTGGCCGCCGGGCCCGCGTCACGTCCGGCGTGGCATTTGTTCTGTTCACGAAGGTTGGAGTTGGGGCGTAGAGGAAGGTGCAAGGTGAAGGTTAAACCCTCACGAGTCCAGTGTCGGGTCCTCGCGGCCGCGGCCCACGTGGTGCACTTCCCTCCAGCTCTTTTTAACCCTGTGTGTGGGGAGGAACGCTGCTCTGAAAACAGACGTTTTTATTGACTCAGAGAGGCAGGGAGAGGGAGGGAGAGAAACATCAATGATGAGAGAGAATCGTTGATCAGCTGCCCCCTGCACGTCTCATGCTGGGGATGGAGCCTACAACCTGGGCGTGTGCCCTGACCAGGAACTGAACCGTGACCTCCTGGTTCATAGGTCAGTGCTCAGCCACCGAGCCACGCCAGCCGGGCCACAGCTGCACTTTGTAACAAGCAGAAGTGGGTTCCTCCATAGGCGCCGTTTCCCTGTGCCCGTTGAGTCAATGTGTGCTGTACCCGAGTGCAGTGCGGCCCACGTGTGCCCTGAAGGGCCTGCCCCTGACCAGCTGGCTGGGTCTCAGCCGTGGCTCCTGGCCGCCGGTGGAGCCTGGGCTGCGCCCGTCTACCTGGGCCCCATCTCTGCAGCCCACCCCGTCCACAAGCCCTTGGACCAGAGGCCACATGATGTCAGGACACGCTCTCTCCCACCTGCCCCCCTGGGTCTTTTTCCAGCTGCAAGAATGCCCCCCGCCCCCACCAGCCTGCAGACCTCAGGGCTCCTGGGGCCACAGGGAAAGGCCTGGGCTCCTGGCGGCTGTCCAGGCCCCTCCTGGACCACCTCCCTTTGCTCCCCGTGGCCAACTCCCACCACTTGCCGCTTCCTGGATATGCTGTCAGGTTGGGGCGCCCAGGCCGGGTGGGAGGCCATAGCTGGTCCCGGGGTCAGGACACTGCCACTCGGGGACCAGGACAT